CATGAAAGCACAATATATACGATTTAATTCCCAAAGTTTATCTTTTCGCTTTTCCTGCATGTCCTGAGAAATAGAACAGTGACATGATGATTAATAGATCAATTGCAGTGTGTAGCATATACAGCTAAAAGCAGCTGTTCATAAGTGTCTCTACCATATAGGGATCATCAATTAGCAAGCAACATTTTCACTAAGACTGAACTGAAGGAGATGAGCTGACCTGAAAACTGTTGTGGCAGTGCCTAAGGTTTTTACGGAACAAGGTAGTGGGCAAAAAAATATATATGATGAACTAATAATAGTTTAATTACCAAATTAATTCCTGAGATGTGTAACATGTTTGCCCATTAGTAGCTTGTTTGAAATTTGAACAAAATCAAATGTTTCTGGAAATTTCAACAAAACATTTCATGGATTGTTCAACACACATTAGGAAGCAAAAAAGGTACCAGTATTTGTTAAGCAAAAAACCACATCAAAGGACAAATGATGCTTGAGGGATCAAGTAATCATAAGGAAGCTTGCTAGTGAGCCCAGACTCACAATTGCTCTACTGTTCTGCACAGGCTAGCCTACCTATTAGCTAACCTGGACATCAGCACATGTTCTAAAACAACAACCTTATGTTTGTATGCATTTAGGAACTAGGAACCAGCCAAGGTGTGACACAAACAAGCTCCACCATAGAGATATTATAAACATTTCAGCTTTAGGCAAACTTTATTCAAGTAAGTGAGTGGACATGTAACACAATGTTCTGGACAATCCCATTACATGAAATTGAAAGAATGTCAATCAACAGATTCCTCACCTCGCAATGAAGGTCGTGGAAGGGTTCTCATGGCCGGCGACGCGGTGAAGGCGGAGATCAGCGATGATGGTGGTGGCTCGACCTCCTGGCAGCGGCTATGGCGGCGCGCGGGCTAGGGCTAGGTCTCCTGGCGGTCCCTTTAGGGATGAAAAGTGGCGGCGCAGAGCTCTGAGCCTACTCTTTATAAGAGGCGGGCGCGGGGAACCTCGGGGGGCACGTTCGAGGGGATCGGGCGGTGGTGGCTACGCCCGGTTGATGCGGCACGGTGGGGCATGTTTGAAGGAGGGGAGGGGTAGTGGGCTTTGGCCCAGAGGCAAAATAGAGGGGAGTAGGGGAGAACCGCTTTGTGTCCATCTCCAGGGAAGGAGGCGACACTGTGCGTGGACCCGCTGACACGCGGGCCCCACAAGTCAGCACGATAACAAAGTCAACCGATCACTCTCATGTCTCCTCTGAGTAGCTAGACTAGTGCTCGTAGGACGACAAGTACTGAACCTACATTCTCGCGGCTCGTTTGATCAGTGGACTGATAGACCGTTAACCTAACATGATAGGAAGTGAACCGATCACTCTTATGTGTCATCCGAGTGCATTTATAGGTTGAACCGATCTCTCTATCCACGTGTTTTTTATGTGTGAATCCGAGTTTCTTTATTTTAAGGTCCGGCTTTATATTACAAATCAATACTGGAAGATACAAAAAAAATTCAATTACAAAATAAATGGTTTGAAAAAAATTGTTTTCAAGAGGGACTTCAATTGCAAACCATTGTAGTTTGCACATACTAACTAAGTGGAGTAAAAGGCCTAAAGTGAATGGAAGTGAATCAATCACTCTCATGTCTCGACAGAGTGAACCACTAGCCTTAACATGATACAAACTAATCCGTCACTATCACGTGTCGTCCGAGTGGACTAACAGGCTAATAGCACGATAACAAAGTCAACCGATCACTCTCATGTCTCCTCTGAGTAGCTAGACTAGTGCTCGTAGGACGACAAGTACTGAACCTACATTCTGGCGGCACGTTTGATCAGTGGACCGATAGACCGTTAACCTAACATGATAGGAAGTGAACCGATCACTCTTATGTGTCATCCGAGTGCACTTATAGGTTGAACCGATCACTCTATCCACGTGTTTTTTATGTGTGAATCCGAGTTTCTTTATTTTAAGGTCTGGCTTTATATTACAAATCAGTACTGGAAGATACAAAAAAAATTCAATTACAAAATAAAAGGTTTGAAAAAAAAGGTTTTCAAGAGGGACTTCAATTGCAAAATGGATGGTTTGAAAAAAAAATTGGTGCTAAGGGCCAGCAATGGCTAGGTCAAGCTCGACCTCGAAGGGAGCCCAACCAGGCCGCGCCGGCCCAATTAGCATAGGTAACAGACGTTCAAGAGCATAGGCAGTGTAGTACAAGTGTTCGAACTGGCTAGTTTGCCTACGCTTTTAAGCTGTGCTTTTGATTGATATGCAAGCGAGGTGGGACTAAACCAGGCATGTAGCTGACTTCCTTCTCCACCGCTCTCGCACTCCCCTCTATTTTAGTTCTAGGCCACAGCCCACTACCCGGCCATGCAAACCAACCGTAGCCCTCAGCAACAACAGGTCAGCCCCGTAACAACAGGCGACGTGGCCCAGCGCCCTTTGCCCGCGCCCCTATCGCTGACCTACAGGGCCCGCGTGTCAGCGGCTCCACACACCATATCGCCTCCTTCCCTGGAGACGGACACAGAGCGGCAACTTCTCCCCAACTCCCGGCGATATGCCTCTGGGCCAAAACCCACTACCCCTCCCCTCCATCGAACATGCCCCGCCGCGCCGCATCAACCGGGATTAGCCACCGCCGCCCGATCCCCTCGATAGTGGCCCCCGAGGTTCCCCGTGCTCGCCCCTATAAATAGTATGCCCAGAGCACCACGCCGCCACCTTAGAACCCTAAAGGGGCCGCTCGGAGCCGTAGCCTTAGCCCTAGCCCTAGCCCGCCGCCAGCCGGAGCTCGACGCGCCGCCGCCGCTGATCTCCACCTTCACCGCGTCGCCGGCCACATCCACGCCGTCTAGAGATGAATCCAGGAAAATCATCGGCTGAGAAGAAGATGAAGACGGGAAAATCCACGGCTCTGAAGAAGAGCGCCGAAAGGTGCTTGGCCCCTGACTGCGTGAACTGCATGAACGGAGTCTCTCCATGCCTCTCCCCGAGAGGGAGAGACGACTTCAGCTGCTGCAACTGCTGGAACTGGAATCGCGGTCGTCGCAATGCTTGCGTGAACGGAGGATGTGATCTTCGTATCAAAAGGCCAGGTCACCCAACGAGGTATGTCTGTGGAACGACAAATTTTTAGAGATCTGTTTGTAGTTGAATTGGAAACAGCTATGCCTGTTTGTTTCTATGCAATCGAGTCCATAGCTCATGCATGCATATTTCTATGCAATTTTTTTTCAAGTGCTAATGAGTGTTTGGTCTGGTTCCATGAGGGATAGATGCATTGGCTCTTTTATATGATCCATTATATTTCAGGTGTGCAATCATGAATTCTGCCCTGACGATGGCCGATGTAATAAGTATCTGTGCCGCAACTGCAAGAACAATGTCTCTCCATGCCTAAATCCTATCGGTGGCATCGACGACCTGTTGGCGTGGTGCTGCAACTGCTGGAGCCATGAGATCCGTAGATGCTTGAATGGGTGTCAGGACTGGAGTGATGAGGAGGACGTGTCAGACCACCAGGTATCTTCTTGCACGGCTGCATGTAATTTGTACTACACAACCCACTTCATTTGACATGTATTATTTTTGGCATGTATTATTTTTGACAGATTCCATACTTACACGATGACACAACCCTTAATTGAAAATCAGTCTTACTGAGGTTGGTATAATATTTATGCTTTCCATTTTCAGTGTAGGAAAATGATAAAATGGATGCCCATGGATTTTGCATCTCCTACTATAATGTCCACTACCAAGTTAGGAAAATGAATGGCCAATAGCTTATCATGTGCTACTATAATGCCAACATGATGGCCCTGTTTGTTTGAAATCACCGTAATGCAGGGATGTTTTTTGATTCTCGATTTTGCTAGTTCAAAGTTCTGAATCGGTGGTGAGCAGAAGCTGAGATAATCAGGGCATTTGGTGGGATTCTCGTTTTTTTTTTTTCACCGAGAATCTGTTATAAGCGGAAGCAAACAGGGCTGGTGTCCAGTAATTCTCCATGTCCTAATGTAAATATCAATTGTATTGATCAAGAGATAAGTTTCACATATATCCCCAAATCTGAGACCGCACCTCCCCAACCACTGTTGTCAGCCATGGACCCTGAAAAGCAGTAGGGATCAAGACATCATGTCTTAATAAAGTTATCTACCATGTATCCATGTTTCAAATATTAGAAACGAACAATAGAGCAAACCTCTAGTCATTCCAATGCACTGTTTATGGTTTGTCTAACTTGGGCTAACAGCTTATTTGATGGTTAAATGCAGATGGTATGATTGGCATGGCTATCATCATAGGCGCCTTTGGAGTTGTGGGTCTTGTTGCTGGTGGTATAATTGCTGCGGCTTCTTCGTCATCCAGGAGGAGATGAGGATATCTTCTCTCTTGAAGTGAATAAGAAATCAAGACAGGCAAAAGCTTGGTGACAGATGATCATCACTTTTGTGCTCAGTGTGAAGGGGTGCTCACTTGTCTTTTTTCCTGTACTTTGCACGTGAGACCAACCTTGTATTGTGTCCAAACGAGAGATAAAATGTATTCTTAACAGTAGAGGATGAGGCTCAGGAACATTTCGATTGTTGTACTTTGTGTTGCTACAGAAGATGCTGTGAGTATAGTAGAATAACAAAGTGCATAATAATACTCTGATCTCGGGTCCTAGTTTCCTAGATGAGTTCATTCCTCATCGCCAATATGAAATTGCTACACTTTTCATTCTAATGACTTTTTGAGCGGAAAAGGAGCTTTTCAGAGCTATCAAATAAACACAAAGGAGAGAATGGTTTGGTTTATCTGAACGTGATATGGACCTTTTAAAATCTTGTAAAGAATGGATGCATATGCATGAATGCATCAGAATATTTTCGGTCTTTGTACATGTTCTCTGATGAAAGTTCTTTTTTTTGGGTGGTTGCGGATACACATTCTACACATCTTTCCCAACAAAAGCAGGTTGTTTTAATTTTAATCTTCACTCCCTATCAAGGTCAGCAGGAAGTCCTTGTAATACCCAGAGGTGTCACCAACAATGTCGCTGGTGACCGTGGTCTTGAACCTGACCTTGTATTCCTCTTTGATCTTGTTCATGCCGATCTTGGACCCTGAGATGATCACCCTGGTAAGTGTGTCCTCAACCGTTCCAAATCCTAAGATGGAGTAACTAATAGCCTGACGAACAAAGTACAGGTTGAACACTGGCAATTCAAAGCCCATCAACAAGGTTGACAATCTTTCCATCCCAAGTTCACCTCTACAAAGTGCTTCTCCAGTGACGTTATGGCTGGCACTGCCAGCTGAGGCTATCTCTCTCGACTTGTTACCTTCCTGAGCGGATCCTAGAGCGCGGGTCAGGCGGCGACGTCCTCCTCAAGGAGCGCCTTATGAGTTGTTCACAGCAATGCCAGGTCATCATCCTTAGCTTCCCAAATAGAAATTAGCAACAAAAATGACTTTTACATAAGCATTTTGATTCCTGACCTCAATTCAAGGATAACCTAACATAGTATACATAGAGATAACACAAGTTCAGAAGCCGTTGCTAATTAAAGGATAACATAAGCATCTTGGAGCTCTAACGTTCGCTATCTTTGTAGTCATCTCTCTGAGTCGTGAAAAGCGTAGATCAACTACTTCACATCTTCTGCCTCATCACTTTCCAAACAGAGGCATCTCTTCAGGTGTGAACATCTCAGTGAGCTCCTTTGTTAGTACATCCTTGCCCATCTGTTAGTGCAGTTTCGATTAGAAAAACAAGGGAAATCACAATTGGAAAGGGGGGAGGGGGATAGTACATTTGCTTCACAACAGCATGTGACGCCAGCATGCAATGCCAACAAAAAACATATGGCAAAATCACACTGACCATGCAAAGGACTAACCTCAATGAAATTAGAAAGTGCAGAGGCAATAACATCAAGTACTCGCTGATCGTTAATCCCTACTTTTGTCCTGTAGTCAGAAAGCATGGATTTGGCAACCTCCTGATCACTTTCAGAACCATAGCGCTGGCGTTCACTTCCTCGGCGGTGCGCACGATGGCCAGCAGCGCTGGCGGCGCCAGCGCGAGGCGCGTGACGCCAAACCTGCCCATCGCAGATAGCACCGCGGCGGTGTCGAACCTGCCCCTGGTCGTGTGCAGCACGCCAGCACTAGCATCGGTGTCGGCGCCGGTGCCTCCTCCTCATGGCGCGCTTGGATCTAGGTTTCATGGCCCCCATCCTCTCCAGCCTCCTCTTGCTCCACCATGGACGAACGCCGAGGGCGGCGCCAGAGCAGAGTACGGCGAGGAGGAGGGCGATGCCGGAGTGGGTGACGGCGAGGAGGAACGAGGGGTAGGGGTGGCCCGTTGCCCTGCGCCCGGCCTCCTCCCATCGACGGCGGCGGCGGCTCGCAGGACGACGACGGTGGAACCCTAGAAGAAGTAAACGACATATTCATTTAACTAACTATACTAATTGTATTATCCATCCTAACTATATTACTCAAAACATTATTTTTGCATTTATAGAGTTACTGTTTTACCCTTTATCAAAAAAAACTACGAGAATGGAATTACCGCCCAGTCCTAATCTCCACATTTGCGGAGGCAATGGAAGGCGATATTTGCGCATATGGCCCACCGATCATAGACACAGCAATCGCCTCCCATTGCCTCCGTCCCATTGCCTCCTACCTTTGTTGCCGTCGGATTGGCCGCTCTCGGTCGATGTCAGCCATCGAATTTTTCCCCAATTATTGTAAAAAATTTCTTAAAAAAAACTAATTAAAGTAAAGATTGTTGCAATTTGAGGTTATTTTCATTGCCAGCCAACAAATATAATGGGGCACCACAAGGAAAAACATTTTATACCTGTAAATCTAAAAAGTATAAACACCTTGCAAATTTCTGCCTAATGAACACATGCAACGGTTAGATGGCCAGTGGAACCAATCCGTGCTAATCCAAGCCAACCCAAATGATTCAATCAAGCAGTGGATTGAACCCCATAGCACTGAAGTTGATTATTGGTTAGTGGGAGGGGATCAACCCAATCACACATTGGGTTGATTCTCCCCTACTTTGCGGTGAATTGTTGACAAACAAAGCCTTAACGGGAACATTGCACGGTGACTGGAATAAATTGAATGTGCAAGGTGAACCACGTGGCCACCAGCGGCGGTAACACCTCATTGCGAGTGGGTTGCGCTGAATAAAACTTTCCTAATGCCTCACTGTCCCAAACATTTGCAGACTTTCATGTATCTCATTCTGCTGCACTGGATATATTAACTCAAATGGCAAGAACTGATGTCTATGTGATCAATCATGCTTATGCCCTATATATATTGATCTATGTGGCAACCCATGAACTGAGGCTTAGCTATGTTACGTTTTGCCTTTGTACATATGCTGACATTTTATTTGCCTCGTGGTTGACGCACTGTGTGATATTTAAGGGTGGTACGATGGAAAAAGTTATGCTATAGCTTGCGCAGGAGGACAATTATTTGTTTGGTTGATGACTCATGACAAAATACTATGGCAAATTACTAATGTCTAACCGTGTGTTTAGTTGGATAGATGAAGCTAGATGAGAGATGGTGGTCAGTTTTTAGAGTTGTTTGGTTCAGATTCAGGATGGATAGGATGACCCATGTCAACAGAAAACATTATGCTAGATTCTGGGCAAGCCTATCGAGCAGAAAATGGTTAGATAAGGCCATCTGCCTTCACTAACCATGATCATTAGTTAGCTATTACTAATAATCAATCCATTTTACGAGTAATTACTCTATCAAGATAAGTGTCAATTATTGATCATTATCCTATTTGTTCCTAACTTTATGTTCATTATAGTAAGATTAATGATAATAAACATATTTGTTATAAGGTAATAATTACCATGATAAGATTAATGTTGATTGCTTATTGAAGTTGATTAGTTAACTATTCTCATACCCTACACCATAATCTATCCAACGATACATGTATCATGGATTCGTGGTACCCTCATCGAGGGCATAATGACTCCATCGAAAACTAACCCTCTGTCCACCTCTGACCTGTCAGATAGGGGCTCGGGAGCTACACCCACCATGTGTGCTCATGTGCCCCTCTGTGGAAAATGTCCTCGGAGGACGAAGGACCACACCTCCATCCTCTTGGGAAACGCTCTGATCCGAAAGCCTGTATTTGACCTAGAAGTTCGACCGCCTAGTGTGTTGGCCACCTGGAGCCTTGCTGAGGAGTCCGACCAAGCGACCAAGAGGTCGAGCAGAGCCAACGTGCCTCGAAGGGAAGGGCCCACCAGTCGTAGTTGTCAAAGTGGGTTGAACATGATGCCTTCTCAGGCTCATGGCTCCATGTTAATATAGGCCAGGAACAACCCCTAGCGTGGTGTTACAACTTGCACAACAAGATCATCTATCTATCTCTATCCTAACTGACTTACAACAGGAGATTACAACAATCAGGAGCTATCCTATAGGAGCCGCAACATATCTGCTTTGAGAAGCAATCCACACCACCACCAACCGATCAGGTATGATGCCTGGGTATGTCAACAGATATTCCAACACCCCCCGTCAATCACAACGTGTCTGTCAGGTTGAGATTGTTTCTAAACATCTCTGTTTGCTTGACGGGGAGCGCTTTGGTGAAGCCATCGGCGACCTAATCCTTAGTGCTGATAAACCTGATGTCAAGACGCTTGCTGCAACTTGTTCTCTCACAAAATGATAGTCAATTTCTGTGTTTCATTCGAGCATGAAAAACAGGGTTAGCTAAAACATACTTCGCGCCAATGTTATCACACCATAAACAAGCTGCCTAAGGACGAGGAATACCTAATTCATCAAGTAACTTTTGTATCCACATTACCTCAGTTGTAGCATTGGCAACCAATTTATATTCTGCTTCAGTGCTTGATCTAGAAACAGTAGCCTGCTTCCTTGCACACCATGGCACAAGGTTGCAGCCAAGATATACAGCAAAGCCTCTTGTAGAGCATCTGTCATCTGGGCATTCTGCCCAATCCGCATCTAAAAAGGCACTCACAAGCATTGAGTTAGAGTTTCTAAATTTTTAGACCCAAGCCAATGGTTCCTTGCACATATCTCAGAATCCTCTTGACTGCTTCCCAATGAAAAGTAGTAGGAGAATGAAGGAACTGACACACTTTGTTAACTGAGAAAGACAGATCAGGTCGAGTCAAGGTCAGGTACTGCAGAGCTCCAACAATAGTCCTGTACCTGGTAGAATCTTCTATTCCCAATTTTGATCCGCTAGTAACAGACAATTTTTCAGTAGTACAAAGTGGGTTTTAACTGGCTTGCATGACTGCGTGTTAACTCTCTTTAGAATTTCAAATGCATAACATTCCTGAGTTAATAACAACTCACCCTTCTTCCTATGAACTTGAATGCCCAAAAAATAATGTAACTCACAGAGATCTTTGATGGCAAATTCCTTCTCTAGATCCCGTAGGAGGGCATCAATTGCTTCCTGCGAGGAGCTGGCCACAATAATATCATCAACGTAAACAAGCATGAATATAACATGATTTCCCTTTCTATAGAAGAAGAGAGATGTATCGGCCTTGGAGGGAATAAAATCGAGGCTTTGCAGCTTATTGCACAAGCGTGAGTACCATGCCCGAGGAGCTTGTTTTAGTCCATATAATGCTTTGTCAAGCTTACAGAGGTGATGCGGCTTGGTTGTATCTTCATACCCCGGAGGCTGTCTCATATACACCTCTCCTTCAAGGAACCCAAGTAGGAAAGTATTATGTACATCTGGCTGTCTCAACCACCAATTTCTTGATACAGCAAGAGAAAGCACCAGTCGAATAGTGGCAGCTTTAACTACAGGACTGAACGTATCCTCGTAATCAATACCATATCTTTGTTTAAAACCCTTTGCAACCAACCGTGCCTTGTATCTATCAATTTTGCCATCTGACCTTCTCTTAATTTTATAAACCCATTTGCAATCTATCACATATTTCCCTTTTTGAGGTGGTACAAGGTGCCAAGTTTTATTTCTTTGCAATGCATCAAATTCAGCATCCATGGCATGTTTCCAATTTTTATCAGCTAGGGCATGTTGCAAAATAAGAGGACCCTCAGTGGTAGCAGCTAGCTGACCATACCGTATTGTACCATCAGTATATACCTTTGGCTTCCGAATGCCTTGTTGCAAACGAGTAGAAGGTCGCTGAGGCGGTGGCTGCACAGGAGGTTGTACAGACACTGGTGGCGTAGAAGATCTGGCGCCCTGAGCTGCAGGATCCGTAGACAACGGAGTCGGCGACAGTGATGGTGGCATAGATGATCCGAGCGTGGGTGCCGAGGAAGATGCACTGGCAGCGCCCTGGCCCCCTTGTCCCCCCGTGCTCGGAACTAGGGCGACTGGAGTGGACGCATGTGGCGCACGTGGAGAGGAGGCGGACGGAGATGGCACAGAAGCAGATGTCGCAGGCTCGGTCGGCGCAAGATCTAAGGTGGATCCGATTCGGGGCGTCAGTGAATCCACCCCAGGATCAGCGCTGTCTCCTGCCAAATTTGGAAAGTGCCGTGGGAGCATGAAATCACGGCTGTTTGCAGCTGAATTAGGCTCATTTGACGCCAAGTTTTCACCTGTTTCTGCATGCTCAAGCAAAGAGTCAGTGCGCATGGAATCATTACCAGATGGACTGGAAGAATCATCACCCTCAAAGCCAGAAGGATTAATTAGGGAGGAAGGGAGAAGAAGGATTTCAGATCGGAGGCAAGCACTGACATTAGGATGGGGAAAAAGGATAAATATTGTCATCAAACACGACATCACGGGAGATATAAACACGACCTTCACTAACATCCAGACAATTGAACCCTTTGTGCAAAATGCTATAGCCCCAAAACACACAGCGCTTAGACCAAAATTGAAGCTTGCGAGAATTGTAGGGTCGCAAATTGGGCCAGCATGCACAGCCAAAGGTTAGGAGGGAAGTGTAATCTGGTATTTGATGAAATAAGCGTTCTAGTGGAGTTGTGTTATTGATGACTTTACTAGGCAGCCGATTAATAAGATAGGTGGTGGTGATGAAAGCTTCATCCCAAAATTTTAATGGC